ATATATATATATATATATATTAAATCAATACTATGGATTTCACATCAATTTGGATACGTGATTAGTTTCTCTATAACATGAATATTCTTTTTTTTTTTTCTTATATGCTTCTTTATTCGCGCTATATACATAGTTTTGACAGTTACACCGCTCCTGTTTCATGATCAAATTAATAAAAATTTTGCTCGCGTGATTTAACTTTGGATTGTTCTTCGTATTTCAATAAGAAATTCTAGTTGGTAAATTTTATGATATAAGATTTTATGTATTACACATTTCATAAAACTAAGAATCTATATGTATCATTCGCTATTTTTGGTTAAGATCAATATTACAAACTGGAAGTAAAGGTCTTTACGATATTTTATTCTTCTACTTTTTGAATCATCTGTTTTTGAATTATCTGTTTTTTATCAGTATATTATAGTGTTACACTGATAAAACTCAGTGCATAATTTTCAACATTTCAAATTATGTTGACAAACATTGTTTGTGGATAAAATTTACTTGGAAATTTTTAGGTACGCATTGTAATGAGTATTTTACAACTCTTTTTGAATAAGATTCAAAACTCAGAGAATAAATGTAAAAGAATTATACTATGAAACTAACTTTGCGAATAATATCCGGATTATATAATATCTATTAAAATTAATATTAATATCTTATATTTTCGTTAATATAATATTTATAAGATTGTAATTTTGTTGACGAAATTAATTATATTTTTATTAATCTAATTAATATCAATTTTATAGATATCAAGACAATTGATTTTAAGTATAATGCAAATGTTTATATGATCATTTTTTAAGCTTTTACAAGAAAAAAATAAAAGATCTATTGATGTGACAATAATGAATAATATTTTTATGGTTATAAGATAAAATACAAATATAATTTCTTAAAAGTTTAAAATACAACAAATTGATTGAAAAATTGAAAAAAATATTTCGATAATTTTCCTAACATCCCACAAATAATGTTTGCCAACAATCTTTAGGTATACTAAGCTCAAAGGAAATCTTTTAATAACTGAGAATGGATTCAAAGTTTTAGGTTTATTTTCACGCACGACAATACATTTCTAGAAGTAAGTTTTGCGTTGATAGGCAATCGTCTATGTAAGTTTGCACTTCGTAGATTCATTTGTAATAAAGCGCAGTGAATTGCTGAGAAGACAAAACTGCCTACGTATTCTTTGTTTTTCCTTTGTGAATTTTAATGTGTAAATGGATGATCTATCTAAGTTATTTATTAAAATAACTTTTTAATTACAATGTATTAGGAACGAAGTATTATAAAGTAGCTTTTACTAGAATATAGATCTTTTCCAGGCACTATTAAAATAGTTGTCGCTGCTTATTCAGCTTTACTAATAAGGAAGATAATCATGTAAACATCTTATTAGTCTTGTGCAATATGATAGTAACAAAATATTTAGGCAAAATATTTGTATTAGGCGCATATATATGTATATATATATAATTCATTGAGTGATATGTAGGAGAAAGAAAAATATGTTTTCTTTTAGTAAGTACAATTTAATATATACATTCACAGTGTGTAAGAAAAAGATAATTTAAAATTATGAAAATGTTCAACATTTAAAAAATATATATTTAATATATGTTTCTTTCCGAATACATGTTACACATATGTACACGTTTATACATGTATATATAAAATATTAATATACATGTACGTATATAATTGCATTAATTTATATACATTAGAGAGGCCCTTATTTTTCGACTTTTGAATTTTGAATTTTTTCCGTGGCTCTCCCAAGAATCTGCAAAGAAATAATTTTTGCTAAATATCAGTTTGATCGGATAATGGAAACCCATATCTCTCTGGTTTGTTAAACATTTGAATTCCCTTGTATTAAATTTTCTACACTATCAACAGTTTTTAAAATATTTTTCTCAAAAATTAATGTAAGACTTATCTTCTTTTTATCATGTGTTTTATTTTTCTGCATCGTTTGAGATCTTATGTTTCATTTATACAATTAGGTGAATTGTTAATGACAAAGAAAATAAAAATAAATAGTTATTACATTTTTAAAATTATTTAAGCTGCAAAAATTGGACTAAAAATATCTATGGGCTAAAAAAGATATAAAACTAAAGACCAATGGTTTTTTCTTTTTTCTCTTTTTTCTTTTTTTTTCTTTTTTTTTTCTTTTTTTCCCCTTTTTTCTTTTTTTTTCTTTTTTTCCCTTCCTCCCCTTTTTTTTAAAGAATAAAACATTGTGTTTCTTTTTAAACATATTTTAATGCTTCAAACATGCTTTAAGTATTAGGTTGACAAATAAAGTATCGATTTTCTATTACTGTTAAGAGCAACTGTAATTTATTAAAAAATGAAGAAAATTTAAATTTACAAAAGGATTTTACAGTTTGAAAACTTTACTTTTAAAAACTTACTATATTTTTTGAGTTTGTGTGAGTTTGGTAATTTTTACATATAGAAAATTACTGAAAAAATGAAAAAAATGTTCTCTTTGTAGATCCGACATGCCACCTCCCCCCAAAATGTTTTTTTAATGTTCTTATGATTTTTTGTTCCTAAGTTATTCACGGATTAAGTAAATAGAGCATTCTAATTTTAATTGCTCATAATTTTTTTTTAACGTTAAAAATCATTATATCACAATAAAAAATTATAGATTCTTAAAGCTGAAATTTAGCTCTATCGAATGGTACAATCGTTATCTTTTTAAAAATATTGTAGAATACCTATTGGAAAAAAAATCACTATTTTATAATACGAAAAACCAACATTTTATTTACATCATAATCGTATTATAAAAAAACGTGTTTAAAACTTGTTAAAATCATCGATTAATAATAAGTATTAATAATAAGTGTTTTAAACTGTTTAAAATATGTTTTTTTTTACCAATTCTAAATAGTAATATGAACAACAAAATGAATTCAAAACATGATGAATTTCATATTTCTATTAATAAAACAGTTTTGTACTTTGTAATTTAACATTACGTAATAATTAGTAATTACATTATAATCGTAATTTTATTAGTCAGCACTATCTTGAATAATTTCCCAAGTTAATAAAAAAAATTTATGAAACTTCAATTCGATTCAATGTGTGAAATTGTGACCTATTTTTTCATAAACTATCAAACCTCGAAGTGATCTCATGATTTCAAAATTGATATTTGTATTATGTTATTGTCATCATTTCACACGTTTTTTGTTTAACAAGGTAAGATCCTTTCTTAGGCGGATTAATAAGGATAAATAAAATCTCCCTCAGAGCTACGTTCACCAAGTGCTACTAGAAGTATCATTTTTAAACAAGGATAAAATAAACTTAGATGACACTTGGATAGAAATCTGAACATAGTTTCTGGGAGGAGATTTCATTTCTTGTTGAATAAAAAAAAACGTGAAATGATGATAATAGTATGACAGATTTTGAAATAACTGTGATTTAATAAAATTTATAACAATTATGGGCATGATTTTTTACTTTTAAATCGAATCAAAGTTTCATAAATTTTTTTTTTTAGTAACTTGGCATTATTCAAGATAGTGTTGATGACTAATAATTATGATTGTAACTGTTAATTATGTAATGTTAAATGTAAAAAACCATTTTATTAATAATAACATGAAATTCATCACATTTTGTCTCTCAAACATACTATTAACACTTTCTTAGTCCATAGGTAATAAATTTTTGCAGCTTGAATAATTAAAAAATGCGATAACTATTTTTATCTGTTTAATTAACAATTTACCTAATTATTCAAAAGAAACATATAAGATTTTATACAATACAAGAAAATAATTTTTGTGAAAAATATGTTTTAAAAACAAATATTGATGATGTAGAAAGTTTAAGGGAACTTAAATGTTGTAACGAGCCGGAGACAGGTTCCCATTGTCGACATGAACTGAAATTTGACGAGGATTATTTTATTGTGGATTGAAATCATTTCATCTGGGAGGCGTCGCAGAAAAAATTTGGAAGTCGGAATATAAGAACCATCCTAAATTACACATTTGTATATGTATATATGTTACAGGCAAAGTGTGCATACAGTGTCGTCATTGCTCGAGTTGTTTGCTGTACAATGTCTGCATTGGTCGGACCGTGTCAACATTGCTTAATTCAATCACGTTTGGCAATACCGACACTGCCCACTTGCGAACTTTGCTCACAATATATATATATATATATATATATATATATATAGTATATACAGAATGTTCCGTAAGTTTTTGCCAAGCACTTTTCTGTAGATAGAGTGGACTAATCTTAGTTGAAAAGTCCTGTACCATTTTGCAATTTTTGCAATGGTTAACAAGATATTAATTATTAAAAGTACATTGAATATTGGTTTTCAATAATTTTTTACTCAAATACTATCAACTTTACAGAAAAATTGCAAAAGACAAAAATCATTTATTTTCTTCTCATAGAACTCTAAAAATTTTTTCAGAATTTTTTATCAACTTTTTAGTACTGATCAACTTTACAGAAAAATAGCGAAAAATAAAAGTTATTTATTTTTTTTCTCATAAAATTCTGAGAATTTTTTCAAAATTTTTGAATATTTTCTCATATTAGTAAAAATAAGAAAATGCAGTACTAAAAAGTTGATAAAAAATTCTGAAAAAATTTTTAGAATTCTATGAGAAGAAAATAAATGATTTTTATCTTTTGCAATTTTTCTGTAAAGTTGATAGTATTTGAGTAAAAAATTATTAAAGACTAATATTCGGCAAGTTTTAGTAATTAATATCTTGTACTATTGCGAAAATTGCAAAATGGCAATTAAAGAACTTTTTGACTCAGTTTAATTCACTCTATCTACACAAAAGCGGTCGGCAAAAACTTACAGGACATCCTCTGTGTG